TCAATATGGGACTTATCGCCTTCAACCGATATATCCGAGTTGTCAAACCAGCGCAGCTTTACAGCAGGCTTTTCCCTAGCAAGAAAATGGCCCGAGTCTATAGCGCCCTCGTATGGATATCTTCCATGCTTCTTGCATCACCGCCATTGTACGGTTGGGGCAAGATGGTGTACCACCCTACATATGCTATCTGCAGTTTTAACTGGGAAATCGAGCATATTTCATATGTCATAATACTCGTGGGCGGAGTGAACAACACGACCACAATTGCAATATTTTACTGCTACTACAAAATTTACAAGACTCTTAAAGAAAGCAGTAACAATCTAAATGCCCTTAGCACAGATGACGGAGCGATATTTTCTGGACGTCCTCGAGCTGATATTAGAGTCTTGAAAACCAGTTTCACTGTCGTTTGTGTATTTCTGATAATATGGGGACCAGTGACTGTTGTTGTGGTAATGGAGTCCGCTGAGTATTTTGTCGCTAGGGAGGTTTCCACGGCAGTTTTTTTCCTTATGTTCACAGGTAGTTTAGTAAATCCATTTATATACGGGATTATGAATCCTCAGCTCCGAGCGGCCTTCAAAAGGGCTTTAAGCTTTGGTCGGTGTGATAACAACCAGGTAATTCAGATTGGCCAACCTCAATCTGATGAGGCGATATGAGAGCTCAAAATTAACCTGCAAAGCGGCCCAGGCGGAACTTCCTATAATGGCCTATACAGGGAGGACCCGCCCTAAAGGGGTACCTTTTTAGGTCCTCAGTGGCTAAAATGAATGCAGCCTTCTGAAACTAACCAATTTCCTCCCGAAAGAGATTGGGAGCTTAACAGATTACTCTCTAAAACAAGAATCTACTTCGAAACAACGCTGAAAAAAGTTAATGTGGTTCGAGTAGCTTCTCAGAGACCACAACAGAAGTCCAAGCTGTTCTAAACACTAGCTTGTTGTAACTGTGACTCTTTAGACTGCGAGACTTCGGTTTCAAAATTCGAGACCGAGACTTAAAAAAATTCTAGACTCCGAGACGTAAAATCACCCGAAAAAAAGACTTCGAGACCTATCACAAGCGATTCCGAGGTTTCGAGATCGTGCCAAGGTATGTCTTTATAGATCATTGGAAGGAAAAAAATTCAAACCGCAGGCAAAGAAGATCCATTCTGTTACCTTGCGTCGAAACAATCAACTATCGACATGATGAAGTGTTCAAACCACGTGAAACGTTATCATGACAAGCATTACTACAGGAAGAACTGTCGTAAAGAATTCACAGTAATGTCAAACGCATCAGGGCCAGGTTTCGATAGTTTGTTCAAAGCTGGGTTAAGATAACCCAGGGTTGGTACAAAATTTGAATTCAGATATGAAGGCTTGAAAAGCAAATTCAGTTTAATGAAGAGCCATAATAGGACAGTCCTATTATGATCTCTCGATTTGGTGATTGGATGCTCTAAAAAGAATAGAGAAAACTATCAGAGAAAATACGTTTGGACAAAAGTAAAAGAAAGTATAAGATTATATAGGTTCTATTTCCCGGGCGTTTGAGGTGCAGAGCACTTTTCCCACACCCTTTCTTTAAGACGGAACCGTTTCATAGAATAACCCAATTTCAAATGTGCCACATGGCTTTATGTATATCATAATAATTAGAGTAACTAGTATACCTAAAGGGTAGAAATGCTGCCGTAGGCAAGGAATAGTGAAGAAATGGAAAATTAAGTTTAAAGTTTTTAGTAGAAGGTGATGTGAGGCTAAGAGGGCTTAATCCAAAATCTTTGTCAGTGATGACCCTGATGACCTAAATTTAGAAGTTATCTTCCTTTTGAGTATCGCGTTAAAGGTGACTAACTTAATTATGAGCCAGTTTTAGTATTTTTCTAACGTGCTCGCGTCGCGTCAGGAGTGGCCAGATAATTCTCGATTTTTGATATGTATATCAATCATTCTTGCTTTCAACCGTGACTGAATGGTTGAAACTTATTTTGATGCGTTGATTTGGTGATACGGGCAAATTTTCTAACTATGGTGTTCAGTCTTTCTGTTCGCACAAAAATCGAGCGATTTCCACGAAACTTACAATTCTTGAGTTTAAGACTGTTTATTTCAACTGCCAAGTTTAAGGAAATTTGTTCGACTGTACGTGATCTGTGCTACAAGATAGGTTTGAGAAACGACCGTGAAAACATAACATTAACTTGGTTAACCATGTCACGAATCAAACACCAATTTAAACAATTTTGGAGGGCAGTTACGTTCAATTTTTGATAAACACATGTCACATAAGTTTCGGGCTCGTAGCTCTAATGCTGCTTGTGTGAGTCCCTCTTAGAACAGAAGGAAATTTGCTTGGAAAATAGTAAAGGCTGCCGCTATATGGCAGATAACCGGTTAAGATTTTCAAAACACTAAATGACCGGCAGTCCGATATTTTTTTCAATAATTTTTTCAAATCGAAGAATCCCAGCCAGACCAAACTATCATACGTCGAGTAAGAATAGACTGTGAGAGACTTAGTTTATGATCAAAAAATGCTGTCAAAGTGTAAGTCTCTTCAATTTTAAAGGAAAAAAAATCACTCGAATAGGGGCGGATTCGATCCCGGAGAATAGGGTCTGCGTACCCTAATCACTATTGTCAAAATATCGGACTTATAAAATATTACATTTTGTGAAAATCCTTGAAAGACATTAAACGGCTGCTTGCTCCATGCAGTGATGTTATTTCTTTGTCCATACGCTACACCGTTTTGCTGGTCTTGGCGTGTTCTGTTTTCCGAAAACCAACCCAAATATATAGAGGTTTCGAACTTTTCTTTCATTCTGCCTTTGCATCGACTATGAGAAATTTATCATAAATGCTTTCGATTCTCGGTCGACAAATGTCGGCCAACTGGAAAAGTATGCAGCACGTGCAAAGATTTTTTGTTTTCTAATTAGACCTGTTGTTTCTTTGCTTTAATGAAGATTGCAAATTTTTCAAATTGCAGTTGAAAATCAGTGTAAGAAGAAAGCACGTGGTAATCCACTGCGCATTCAAAAATCTCCCATTCTAGCATAGCCACAATTTCTTGCGAGTCTACTGCGCATCCCAAATCTCCCATTTGCACTTAATCACAATTCCTTGCGAGCCATTGCGCATTCCAAATCTTTGAGTCGTGCATAACCGCAATTCCTTGCGTTTGGTAAGAAAAAGTGATTGAATGCCCTGTAATGTAATTTTTTGCCGATTAGAGAGCTGCCTCGTTCGCTCGCTTCAGGCTCGCTCACTGCGGCAGCAAAAATGTTGATGTGTTAATAAAAATAAATTTATTTAACTGATTGCAATGGTAATCAGTTGTATTCTCCAGCAAGATTTTCTTGAAACAAGTGAGTCTCCCGGACTCGCAGGTGAAAGGGGCCTGAATAACCGTCGGAAAACTGAAATTAAACCCAAAGAAAGCTGGTGAGGGCGTGGCTCTTTCACAAGATTTTTTTGACCCCTAAAAGATCGGCCACTCTAGAACAGACAACGAAATAAGAACTTTTAACGGTTATTAAATTGCAATAAAGAAGTTGTCGTATATAAATAATTTCTCTTCTTTTGTGCTCGTTATTCCTTGAGACACTTCCTAAGCGATTCTCGGTTCCTGGAAATATCAAGAGCTGATTACCATGGTGATACAAGTTCACTTTGTTATTAGGGAGCTTACGAATTGACGACTTTCGCACGACAACGCCGTTGGACTGCGTGAGAGGCTTACTGCGCATGCTTATCTGGGCACTTGCGAGGGTCGCGCCAAAGTCGACGCCGTTGTTGACAGCGATTCGCCGGCGTCCTAGAAAAAGCAGGACGTGAGACTAATTTTCAAAGTTTTCCCTACATACTTCAGCGGAATTTTCCAGACAATTCAGGTATAACATTAGGTACATGTTCTTTACATATGTTTTCGATTTGTTTGTCTGTTTTCATTGGAGTAACGACCCGAAGAATCAACACCATAGCTAGCTGTAGACAAACATAAATTAACACCGAGTGAAACCATATTGGCAAGATGGTACCAAAGCTACGACTAGACCATTGCAAGTGGTTATCTCATCACAGTAACTACAGCTGTTCAGCAAGTTTACAAATGCCCTCCCTGTATATAAACGAGCCTTGCATTCGTCCTTTGTCGTCTCGTCTAAATCCGTAGTTAACTCTGAGTTTGTTGACGAAACGCATAAAAGTAAATACAGTGAAACACTCGGTCCTTTATAAATCTGTTTCCATAAGCGTCTGCAATACGAGCTTTCGTTTTTCTTATGAGTTTAGACATTTTGGTTGAACAAACAAGCTTACTTGTGAAAAGAAGAAAACAAACTTCAGAAACGGCGGGAAAATTTGCCAGCCTCGCGCACCAACGTCGTCGTCTTTACTACGAATCGTAAATTCAAATTTCTACAGGAAGGCAACGCAGAACTATGACGTGACCCAGCGGCGGCGTCGTGCGAAAGTCGTCGATTCGTAAGCTCCCTCGCGGGGGTGGGGGGGAAGAGCTTTTGAGGAACCCTCGCTAAAAAGTTGAATAACTTCAAAACCGTTCAAGCTATGACCACCAAACTCAGCAACTTTTCCTCAGTAATATTTATTTGGCCCTTCGTAAAGCCGCCGAGAAATGTACCATGGCAAACGAGGTTTGACCGCCATGTTTTTCAAAATTTGAATTTTTTTCTATAAAAAGGCCTCGTTTCTATTTTTACTCGTCACTGACTTGTAGAATTATTATACCAGGAGCGTGGTGTCCATATACGCACATACGCCCGTGCGTACATCTGAAATCTGGACAATAATCAGAACGAATGATGAATATTTTTTTCACATTATGTTGGTGTCTTCGTGTTAGTATTTTCTTTATCCTTTTTAATCTATAAACCGACAGTAACAAACCATAATGTGGAGTACGAGACGAGATATTGAGCCCTTAACATTATTTTACCAAATTCATTTTATTATAGCTGTTAGTGTAATTCAGGCTATTTAGTGACTCATCTGATAAAAGAAATTCAAAGACCGAGTGACAGAAGCTGGGTTCAATTTTCAACAATGGTTATTTCTCTCGGAATTACGTATTAACTTGAACATATTTTTAGCTTTCTTTGGCCTCCTAAGCATCCTGATACGCAGATAAAATTTTCTATCGCATTACCTCGATTTATTCGTTATTTGAGTTGATCGTCAAAGTCAGTGTTCTATCAGTGTCAGAGCTGCACCATGGTAGAAGGACTCTTTAACTCAAACTCGTCGAGGGAAGAGATGATTATTATTATATATGGTACAAATTCGTCTGGAAAAAGGCGGTCGTTTTCGCAGATTAAACACAAGAAAAGTAAAAACACGGATGAACTCTGTTCTAGCTAGACTGGATGAAGGACTTGTTTATTGACACCTTTCGCAGCTTACAGCTGAATTGCAGGTAAAGGTCAGTTACAAAAACAATACATACAGGACACTAAACGGTAGCATATTTTACAGTTACGAAATCGGCGTAACGGTGGGTACTAACTTGTAGGGTGATTAATGATCGATTTGATCGTGTACAGTAAGCCGAAGAGGAGTAATAATGGAAACTTTCTTTGTGATTTGAATGTACAATTGTAAATCTCGCCACGTATAGGCAATTTACAAATGCTACTTGATATTGGATAATAATATAATAATTATAATAATAATAATAATAATAATAATAATAATAATCAATTTTATTTTAAAATGAGTGTAAACACTTAACGTTAGCAGAAGCTGATAAGCCAGTGAACAATTCTGCTTTGAATTAAAGGGAAGATAGGGTTGTCAGGACTAACTCTTTTTACAAAATTGACACAAGCATCTTCGCGACGTTGCTTTAAGCTCGCGATCCCTGCCTTAGCTATGCGCTAGTGCGTAATTCTAGGGTCTTCTAGCACACAGCGTATTTACGGCAACACATTTTCTTGAACTGCAGTTTTCTACTTTCCCGTTTCCTACTTTCAACTGACTTTTGACAAACTTGTTGAATTAAATGATTTTTAATTGTCGATTTCTTTCCGCGTTCGAAAAAGCAACGGCCACAAGCCCACCGGTATCCTTTTCTTCTTGAGTTACATCTGTTTGCTACGCCACGAGGAGCGACAAGCGTTGATCGTTTACTGATCAACTTCATCAGACCAGGGATCTCATGTTGCTCAACAGCATAGAGGATTCTTTGTTCGCGATTGAAGTGCGCTGTTACCTGAAATACAAATATTATACCATCACCATCGTTGACCCATTATTATTATCATTATATTTTTTTAAAATATTATTAGTATTATCATCATCATCTTTATCATCAGTACATCATGTACGTCACCATCATCATCATCATCAACATCGCCATCGTCATCGTCATCAATCAACATCGTCATTATTTTTATTATTATTATTATTATTATTATTATTATTATTATTATTATTATGTAGGCAGTTTAAAACATCTGGATGCCAGATCCAACTAAAAATCACAAAAGCTGGGCGGCGAACAGTGAACAACGTTGTTTTTTTTTCTTTTTTTCAAAAAAATAATAAAATTAATTAATCTACCGATCAGAAATATAAAATATTACTATGTGCATGGGCTCCCGGCATGAGTTATATTACATGTAAAATTTGTAAGCTAATAACAGTCTAAAATTTATCCTATACTGTTCCATAGTCCATTATCTAAAAATTGAATAAATAATAATCATAATAATCGCATTAAAAAACACACACATTATTATTATTATTATTATTATTATTATCATTATTATTATCAGTTGTTATTATTATTGTCAGTTCGCAAGATCTTCCAGTCGGATCATTTCCTGGAACCAGGTGGACTCCCATCACCTTAGGTATCCATAACCTAATTCTTGCTGTTCCCAGTAAACAAGCTTTTTATAGTGGCTAAATACTTCCGTCAAGTCCTGCTTTCTTTAGATACAGATGCAATCTTTTGGTGATGACTGTTCCGAGGGTACCGACGACGATTGGTACAATCACATCTTCTTTACAGTCGGTCCCACTAACGCTTCACCTCTCTTTTTAAGTCTTCGTATTTTTCGATTTTTTCTGGTTCTGTAAGAGGTACTTAGACGGTCAAAGGGCATGCGACATCTATTAATGTGCAGATCTTTTCCTTCTTGCCTACAACTGTGATGTCTAGTCAGTTGTGCTGTTGTTCGGTGTGATCAGTTTAAATAGGAAAATTCCATGGTAACTTACATTCTTCCGACTTCTCCACAGGCCTACATGTAACCACACCCTCCTCCCGTCAAAGGGAAAACGGATAGAGGGAGCAGCTACACTGAGGCTAGTTTTTGCTGGTGAGCAATCAGAACCAAACTTTCGACAAAGTCCTCAGTGAACGTATTTACTAATCTGATCGCGTCTCCAACCTTTGCATTCTTTCTGAGCCAATTTCTTGCATTCTGTCACATGATGTGACAAACGGTTTCTACGCGTTCTCCAGACATTCTACACAATGGGAATCTATCCTCTCCGTCAACTCTTTTTCTTATACTAGCTGTTGGTACGTAACGCCTGATCCAGGGCAGTTGTTATGTGGCGCTCTGTTTCTTTCTTTAAAACACCTTTTCTTAGACAAAGTCAAGTGTTCGTGCTTCTGCCTTCTTTAGTATGCCTGATAATCCTGATCTGTCGCTTTTACCGTTCCAAGGGTAGGCACGACAGTTGCATTGTGGGTCTTGATATTCCGAAGCCGTGCAGTCTCTCCCGTGAGATCTTTTATCATATTTATGCATATATTTATTTATTTTACTTATTTTTTATTTATTTACTTATTTTGTTTCGCTCTTTTACACTGGTTTTCTCTTCTTTCTTTATTTCTTTCTTTACTTATTTATTTATTTATTTAAGAGGACGATGTTAAAAACCCAAAACGTGTCTTCGCATCAATTAAATTTTAAAAATGATCGTGCCGTCCAGTTTTAGAATTCGAATAGTAAGACGATATATTTTAGAAACTGTTTCCTGTCGTCTGTTGCTAGGATGGCAAGGATGGAAATTAAAACTTGAAAAAATTGGGCCAAATTTTTCAAGTTGTAATGCTAATAAGGTATGCCTGCAAAAATCATCCACAAAACTTATTATGTTATTTCGAAAAACCGCGATGAATTTTATTTGACTATCTTCGTTATAACCCTACAGGAGCATTTTGTGTATGGGTCAAAGCACTATGTAATGACGGATCAGGTTAGGTTTCTGGGAAGATGCCCAACTACTCCTCCCCTAAGCCAATATTAACACTTACTTCTCGTTTAGGTGGGCAGTTAATTTTTTGACTTCAGCTCAGAATTGACCTAAAACTGCAATATCTTCGTGACCATGATAGCCACAAGATCTTTAGGTACAGTCTAAGACAATGAGACTACTGGAGAATTACGGGAGTAAACTCTAGGATGGGTTTCAGTCTGTTCCAGTAGTTTTATGGTAAACAGATTAAACCGTTAAAGAGCAAGCCTATGACGAGCTGTATGAAAGACGATGGCGCTGTTGCACATTCCAATTTCTCTGTTACTCTTCATTCCTTTCACTCACAGCCATTTTAAAGGCTACTCAGAATACCCGGCTGAGATTTTCACAGATAACTGAAACTGTTGTGCTTTTCCGATATTCGCAGAGTTTATTTCAATAGCTTGATCAGAGAATGAAAGGCATGTTACGCTTCCGTGAACATTTGTCGGTCGAAGTGCATGGTGTCAGAAGTGGAGCGAAAAAATAGTATGAAGATATTTTTATGGTTGAAGCATCAGCATATTAACTCACCATGTTTTTGTTTAAAACAGTGTTCGGTTGAAACACGACTTTTTCCGAGGGGACCTCAGCGTCCAAGAAAAAGGACAGTTGTTGAAAGGATTGGGATGCTAAATGATCCTCCATATTGCAGCTGAAATCTTCAAATGCTTTTCCAAAAATCGAAATTTTCTCTGGGGATATAAAGAGAACAAGTAAAGACATTTCAGTAAGAAAAAGGATTAGCGTAATATAGCCCGGGGTCAGGGAAAAGACAAAGTCGCACACGATCAACAAGAGAGTAGAACAACGGCATTTTTTTTCTAGTCCTAACAGCGTATGGAACAATTAGAACTGATCCGGTTTGTCGTTTCAAAAGCAGGCTATATTCAAATCTTTAATTTTCACATGCAAACATTTTTTTGATATGCGGCTCCTGCTGCAAACAATTCTTTTTGTGTTTTCGTCTTCCCGCAAACAATTTTTTTACGTACTTGCATACAATTTATTTCAGTGTTTACGGCCTATGCAAACAATTTATTTCAAAATTTTCCAACCCCTCTCCCCGTCCAAATGAAAAAAGACGTAAAATCCATATCACGGCATTATTCACAATACGGGGACCAACTTAGCACAATCGATCCGTCTGCTAAAGATTTATCTTTTCACGATAACAATGCTCAAATGTTATAGTCTCAAATGTTAGATACCCTGCTTACAATAGGCTGATTTAGCAACAGAACGAGAACGTCAGTTGACGACGGCGCACGCAGATCAAAAAACTGGCTTGACCATTGGCTTGACCAATGGCAGAGCGGCAAATTGGGCACCGGAAGTCGTGTTTAGTCCTTTCCGCGCGCTGTCCAGTCGTCAACTGACTTTCCCGTCCTGTTGCTAAATCAGCCTAATAAGTCTATTTTCTTTACCATCATCAATGATTTTCACAGAGGGCTTTATCTGGCGTTGCCCTTTGATCTGGCAACAAAAAATAACGTTATTTAGGTTTTGATTTCACCTTTATTTTTTTCGTTAAGACCTAGCAACTGAAAAAATATTTAACGATTATTTAGGTTTTGATTTTCATTCAACATGATGCTTATTGGAAATAGAGATGGGATCTATTCTTTTCAAAAAGTTGAGCAACTAGAGCTGCAATATTCAATGAAATGTAAACCGTGTGTCACTAGCTGAAAGCTTGTCTGTTGCAGTCTCGTGGGAAGGGGGGGGGGGGGAAATACTCCCTATGATTGCCCATATAGGGGGGCTCCCCCTAAAAGTGATACCTTTTCCAGGCTTCAGGCAATAAAAATGCAGGGATTTCGTGAGCTGAAGTATACGAAAGGGCAGGGAAATTTGTCAGTAATGTCTTGTAAAAGGGTCTTTAACTAAAACATTTTGAGCCGACGCACCTAATGACTGTTTCAGATTGACTTATTAAACGCTACATAAAATAACAAGAAGACTTGTTGTTAGTAGGTATGTGAAAGGGGTACCATTTGTTGACAGAGGGTATACGAAACGGTTTCCTGGTGTTGCAGTTTGTCACGAAAACTACACACCTTCATCGCGTCTCTTGTTATAACATTGTGGGGTAGTAACTAAGAATGGCCTTGACTGCACTTGTCCCGTTAAGCCTGAGCTGAGCTCTGTTTTGATGACCAGTTCCCATTTATTTCTTTCCAGGATATCTCCTGTTTCAAGGCAGTACACCCGATATCCGTCTTTTGTCGCCGAACTGAGATCAACGATGACTACTCGACGTTCTCCATCACTCCGTAACGTGCGAACTTCCAGCTCCACGGCACCTGAAGGAAATTTAAAGTTCGCTCAAATAAATTACTTGCAACACAGTAGTTCACTTCTGCAATGGAATTATTACATTACCAGTAATAACCAAACGTTAGGGAGTGAGCTTGAGTGCGGGCGACAACGATCGAAGGTCCAAACGTTTTGTTCCAAAGTTGTGCTTTGCTTAAGTTTAACGTGACCGATTGACAAAACACGCGTGATCAGATTACGACGGGCAGAAGGTCGAAGCGCGAGTGATGAAATTGCGTTTTGTGCATTCCATTCATTCTCCAAACGAATGCTGGCTACATACATGCCACGCATGCGTAATATCAACCTGAAGATTAGGATTGCGGGCTCCTCTTGTCGACTGCAATTATGGAAGGAGTTCTAAGTGAATAGTCAAGGGATTCGTTACAAGAAAAGCCAATCAGAGAACCATGCACCTTTCAGCTGACCTTTTTCAATTATGCATGACGGATGAATTTTTAGCCAGATGTTTTTGGTGCAGCGCTGTCATGAAATACAGAATTTACCTTACTTGGGACGTAATCACCCCAAGCGATGAGCAAGCCAACTGTTAACATTAAGAGTCCCCCACCCCTAAGTGATCGCTCTCTACAAATAACAAACAGCAGATAGTCACGTAGACGTTGACGGGTGTAGATTTGAGCGACGCCTAGTATAGCAATAAGCTTTTTGTTAACTGCCGCATTGATTGCATAGAAATGTTATAAAACAATTGGTTAATGTTTCAGCTGTGTGTATGTCGAGATATAAAGCACTTGAGAAGTTTGGAGAGCACTCAAGAGGCTAGAGTTTCCTTTCTTTCGTGCTCTCCAAACTTTCCGCGAGTTTCATATCTCGACATACGCACGCTGACTCTTGAGCCAATTGTTAAATAATTAACAATTATTCCACGAGTGCGCGTTGGATATGAGATGGTACTGAGAGCCAACTCGACGCACTCGGAATAGAACAATTTTTTTTATTAAAAACGCCCTCAAATATCGAGAATTCTTCCCGACTTTATTTGTAAAAACAACCGATTTTCAGCTTGTCTTTAATTTTGAGCAGAGCGTACAGTTACCATTTTGGAAAGCATGGTATAATGGATCACAAAGCATGATGGCTAAGTCAACCAGAGCACTAGAATTGCACAGTATCCAATGATTGAGTTTTTAATACATCTTCATTAGCCATTTTGAGAGAATAGGTCGAAGTTGTGATGAATTGCCGCCGGGCTGTTTTTGGAATGCTATGTTTTCTTTTATTGGCTATTGCAAAAAGTTGCGCAGGTGACATGGGTCCAAACGCGTCTACCTTGGCTCTTGCAAAAGAGGCCATCTTCGAGTTTAAATAACCCTCACTTTCAAAACGAGGCAGAGTGAAAAATTTTCTCTTGAAAACAAGTTTTACTTGCCTGTGAATAAAAATAATTTTCGTGCCAATGGCTTCGCACCAAGAGAGTCGCACTTAGTCTCGCTTTGAAAGAGACACTTGGGTAACTCGGAAACAGTCTTAAGGTGGAATTAGGTACACGCGTAAGTTCCTTTCTGACTCTGTCTTAAAACTTGCTGGTAGCGAAAAAAAGATCACTGATAGCAGCGACCTACCTATAGTATCGTGTGTCCTTCTCGCAGCATCAGGACATCTCTGTGTAAAAGCACGTACGTTGTTGATTTCATCGGATGCCTGTATCATAACAGTGACTTTTGAGTCTGCCAAATGATCTTCTACTGGCCCTTTGACGGTTCGTCTTCCCCTTCTCTTCTTATAACATTCTTTAAGGTCCATTATCTGGACTTCAATGTCATCTGCAGGAGTCGTGTTTGATGCCTCAAAAGAATCGGTAATCAGGCTGGTGCCCCACTCTTCTGTAAACAGTGTTATTAATATACGGTAAGCAAGATTTGAAAAACTGAACTCTACTATAATCATTTTTACCCGAGCCTGCAAGCAATGCAAGCGATGACATTAGCAATGACGTCATTACCCTTGGCACGTGTTTTTCAATGTTTTTTTTACATTCGCGCTCGTTTCCACTTCGTCCTGATTGGCGAAAATCTGACCGCTCAGTCGACGGGGAGCCACAGGGGAATTGGAGGTGGAATTCAAATTTTAGAGACGTAAATGCAAGCGCTCCTTCCTTTTCCCTCCTCGCCGCCAGGGCGCCCCGGAGAGCTTGCTCACAGGCTATTTTCACCCTTGGGCGTACAACTAAACCCAATATCCTTCGTATGGTCTGTAGCTTTTGGTGAATGTTATCCATATTCGTAAAATTACTGTTTATCGAGTATGGGCTCTCCAAGAAGATACCCCTTATATGAGAAAGTGATGAGAGGGTACATTTCAACAAATAGTGCAGTGGAATTCATCACCAATTTCGGATCTATTACAAAGGGGGCAAAGCCTCTCAACTCTGGGTATCCTCTTGTAGCGCCCATATTCAATAGGTAGCAAGTGGCAAGAAATACGCATTTTGGTTACTGCCACTCTTGTCTTAACGTTCTTTATTAAATCAAGATAAGAATCAAATCGGGGGCGGGGGGGGCGGGGGAGGTACTTGGGTTAATGTTTGCTGGGTATGTGCCGCTGGCCTCTCAGAGCCCTAACCCCGTTATAGTCTATTCTTTGGCCAGTTATAGACCCCATCTTACTCACTTTTTTGAATCCCTACTTACCCTAAAAACCCGAAAATTTGCGACCCCATTCTAGTAAAACTATTGAAAATGCGACCCCATTATAGTCACTCCAGTCGTGAAAATGCGACCCCATCCTCTCGTAAGGGAGTACCCCTCCCACCCCCCCACCGGGATTCAAATCTGACTCCATTTTTCACTTCACTAAACAGACTTGATTTATTGCCAACTGAGGAGTCGAATTTATCTTTGTTCAGACTTTTCGACCAATATTCTTGGTATTCTTTAAACAAATTTCTTTTAAATATTCTAACCAGGCGAGGATATGTCCTGTAGTCAAAGATGTGGCAGATTTGGGGTATAATCATTTAATCTGGTAAAGTGTAACAGGTGTCTTACAGTAGTGAACCATGAATGCTTACCTACATTATTTACTGAAATAGGGCGCTATTTAAAATTTGGTTATTTTGTAAGGTAAGTAATCTTAAGAAGTACTTAAAAATTCTAGAGTAAATAATAAGATGAAGAGGAAAACGTCTGAGATCTCCCTTCACAGCATGTTTACTTGCTTTAGAGTGAACCCCTAAGGCCATTTTGCATACCTTGTTATGCATGTTCTCGGGTGTTATTCGTTCATCAAAAATTCTCGAGACAAATTTGTCAGTTATTCCCGACTGATTTTAAAAAACAACCCCAAATTTCACAGTTGTACAAAAGGATAGGGCTCACAAGAGAATAAAAACGATTTTTCTGCTTCAAACAACGGGAACCCCGTTTTCAGACAAAAAAAAAGACACTTTCCACACCTGGCTCAGACCTAGCCTCTAAAATGTTTATTCCATTTTGGGAACTGAAAAGTACCGCCGTTTCATGTCCATTAAGCAACAAAGATCCCACAGTACGTCTGGTTACCATGCAAGAGTGATCTACGAAGGTGATTTTGGCCGCGCTTGGGTCGGTACAGCTTTGATCCAAAAGAAATACATTCAAACCCCATTTAAAATACGGACCCTGAAGGGCCCATAGAAAATGACCGTATTGATTACTGCGGTGTCCGTATTAAGCGGGTCATGTTAATAAAGCCAAAAAACACCTTTTATTAGAGCAAAATATGAAAGAAAAATAAGAGGACCTTATCATCTACATATAGGTTAAACACTCTCTAACCTTCACAAAGCCGTCATTCCGCGGACTAAATTCGCAAAAACACTAAAAAAATCGCTCATCCATAAACTACTTACTAATCAAACCGTTCTCTGCTTGACTAGTTTGATCCCTGAAAATAGCCTGAAGTTGACGTTTATAAATTATCGTATCCGGTTTACTCTGGTGCTGGGAACTTCGACATGCTGCCGTCAACTGAAGATTTTTTTGCCTTCAAGAAGGAAAGGTTTGTCTCACATACGGTTGATAATGAAGTTTCTGCATTATCGAGGTTAACTTTCTATGAGAATCTGTTCACTGGGCAAGAAACAAGAGTCGGTTGTCCGCATTAACGGGTGTCCGTTGACCCGTAGAGCTATATAGTCAAGCGAGTCGTTAACGTGACGTTTTCCTAGGCTCTACGAGTAAACATGCGTAATTATCTTTCTAAACAAGAATACGTAGTAAACTCCAGGTTCGATAACCAACAACAGTTCGTTAGGCTCACATATTTAATCAACAGGTTCTTGAATTCGAGCCGTCAGGAACTCCGAATCCACGTGAATCCGGAAACATAAAAGGCTGATTCAGGCTTAAAAGATTCTTATTTGTGGAATCAAAAACGCTCGTTCTTGATCGTGATTTGTGAACTGAAGACACGTGCATTGTGACTATGATGACTTTATACACAAAGGCGTACATCAGTTTTTTTTTTTAATAGTTTTTTTTTAAAAAAATTTCTTATCAGTGCAACACTCAATTCTGAGGCTATGTTCACAAATTTAGGTCCCTGGGAAACTGACCACCTACCCCTCCCCTGAGCCAACATTTTGCCCTAAGCAGTGGGGGGTAAGTGACAATGTCGGCTTAGGGGAGGGGTAGGTGGGCAGTTTCCCAGTCCTTGCGGCCGGATAGCTTTCCCTGCCGACCGGAAAAGTTATTCGATATAGTGTGAGCCCGTATCTGATATCTGACTCTCCACTTCAGAGATCGGTACGGCGTGGCTTCGCTCGGTTAAAGAGAACAGTTTCAGCGGCGGATCAAGGGGAGGGGCCCGGGCTCCCCCACCCTTAGTTTTAGACCAATGATCCGGATCACCGCCCCCTCGACTTATCTGAAGGTCTGGATTTGCCACTGAGTTTCATTAAAACATATAGTGTAGACTGGAAAAACATTTATCTTCTTAAAATAACCCACTAAGGAAGAGATCTGGAGGTCCAAAGATTTCGTAAACTGCAGTTTAAGTTAAACTTCGTTTAAATAACCGATCCTTAAAGAATAACTCGCAAGATAATTCTATTAGGTTTTACACTTAACTAAACATGCTGGAAAGCGCTTTTAGACATTTATGGAAAAAAAGCACCTTACAAATGAGGAAGATTATTGTTATTATTATTTTAATATTATTAAAATCCTACCTCTGCTAAAATGAGATGTATTCAGTAGCTCGCTGGATGGTAAACAGCACCTTGCCTCTCCTAATCCCATCTCCGCCTGGATAAATTCATCAATATCGTTCAAATAAGCTTCCAAGAAATTCATCACGGATTGTTTAAAAGTAATGCTGGCACAAAAGGCAAAATAAATGCCGAACTTCGAGAGGACGAAAATGACCAATTAATCGTCTCTTTAAGACAAACTAAACAGCTCTAGATGCTGCTTTATATGCACAACTCCCAGCTGACCTCTCTTCAAGAGCACTTTAAAAGCCTCAATATCGTGTTAAATAACAGAACTTTTTTCACTTGATTGCACTGCAAAACAGAACATTCCTTTCTATTGTTCTGCAGGACATTTAAAAGATGTTTAGCTTCTCACGCGACATCAACATCATCTGATTAGTTGTGTTTAAACTCTAATACCGAATTTGATTAACACGCTTACCTCCAACGTTAAATCGGAGTTTGTTACTTTTATCTTATTAAGACGGTTTCCTTCTTTTTTTTTTTCCAAACTTAACCACTTACCAGTTAACTGTGCTCTATGTGCCATACAACGGGTGTAATTACTTTATCTTTCCCTCTTTTTAGTGAACAGCCCTCATGAATAATTTTGGCGCATATAGAACGTATAGGCGCTTTCTTCAAGGGCCTGTATATTTACGAGCATATTAAAAGCTGTTAAGTTCAATTCTGTGCTATAGCAATTACTTGGAGTATGAAGTATGAAATATGAAGAAGATATCAGACAATTTTCATGAGGGAAAACTAACCCGCATAATAACTTTCTTGGTGATTTTTGCACGCACAGTATTAAAAAAGATAATCAAGAGAGGCAAACCTAGTTTATTCTCTCTTCTTTCAATCTGTGTCCATACGTTTCAACACACAGCAGAAAACAACTTAAACGCTTAAATATAGTCGAAATAACACAACTGGACCTATTTTAACTGGAATTTAATGATTGCAAAGACACGTTTAAGTCTTTTAAAAAGATAGCAGACAGAGTCACGTAGCCCCATGAAAAAAGTTGCAAAGTCACCGTGAAAGGATATTAAAGACGACCGCAATTATCCAAAAGCATTAACCATTTCACTCTTAACAGTTAGGCCAAAAGAAAATAATAATAAAAAAATAATAATAATGATAATAATAATAATAAAATCACGAAAAAAAAGGATGATAAAGAGAGAAGGAGGGAGGAATCTCGACGTATTGACTTTGCACGTTTGGATGTCGTCGCAATAGACCGGCTTTTTAGGTTGAATGTTTCCTTTCCTAATGACGGTCTCAGGGAAATTTGTGCCTTTGTGCTCTCATGCATTATGCGTACATATGGTCGTGAATAAGACGAAATTTTGAAAGAAACAGTTCTGTAGAGTATTATCACCCATGACCTACAATCATGGACAAAAGTCCTTTGGAAATTAAAGTAATGCTGTATTCATAATTTTCTGTATTTTCTGAGTTCCCTCATAACAGCTGACAGCACGTCTTTCTTCGTACACATGAATGCAACGTTTCAATAAACTGCATGCATGGTAGCCTCCCGCGGACTTCCTTTGGGGTTCGTTCGTCACGAATGAATTGCATGGCTTCCCGAATCAGAAAGAGCAAGAAAGTTCGACGGCTTTCAAGACGGCTGGGTGTTAGAGCCTTAGTGATTTGGGTCAGCCCGTTACGTTATATATACGTAAAGGCTATTTTACATACTTGT